GAAGGAAAGGGAGGGGGAGGGAGAGAGAAAGAGAGAGAGAGAGGGAGGGAGAGAAAGAAAGAAAGAGAGGGAGGGAGGGAAGGAAGGAAGGAAGGAGAAAGAAAAAGAAAGAAAGGGAGGAAGGAAGGAAGGGACAGAGGGAGAAAGAAAGAGAGGCAGAGAGGGAGAGGGAGGGGGAGAGGGAGAAATAGTGTGTGAGAGAGAGAGACAAAGAAAGAAAGAAAGAAAGAAAGAAAGAAAGAAAGAAAGAAAGAAAGAAAGACAACAATGAAGATGGCAGCTATGCTAAAGCCACCGTGGCCAAAAGAAGAGAGAACCTCGTGGAGCTGTGAAGACTGACGGAACACACAATCGATTAATCTTAAAGCTGACACGTGGATCCATGCCACGGTGACCTCAAGACTAGACTACTGTAATGCACTTTACGTGGGTCTGCCCTTGAAGTCAGCTCTGGATGTCCAGCTGGTGCCGAAGACTGTGGCTGGGCAATCATAGAATCATAGAATGTTAGAGTTGGAAGGGATCTTACAGGTCATCTAGTCCAACCCCCTGCACTCTGCAGGAGCACAGCCAAAAGATGGCCCTAAAACATACCCAAAAGATGGTCGCCCAGCCTCCGCTTGAAAACGTCCAGCGAAGGAGCATCCACCACCTCCCGAGGCTGTCTGTTCCACTGCTCAACCACTCTGACAGTTAGGAACTCTCATGAGATTTAGCCGGCATCGACTCCCTGGTAATTTCCATCCATTAGATCTAGTCTTGCAATTCGGAGCAAGGGAGAATAGATCTGATCCGTCTTCTACATGACAGCCCTTCAAATACTTGAAGACTGCAATCGTGTCCCCTCTAAGCCTTCTCTTTCCCAGGCTAAAGATACCCAACTCTTTCAGCCTTTCCTCATAAGACTTGGATTCCAACCCTCTCACCATCCTGGTTGCCCTCTTCTGGACACGCTCGAGCTTGTCAACATCCTTCCTAAAATGTTGTGCCCAAAACTGGACACAGGACTCCAGGTGAGGCCTGACCCAGGGCCAGCCCCAGACTATTTTGCACCCTAGGCGAGGATCCCTTCTGGGATTCCCTTCTAAGCTATTGTGTTACTGTTTATAACTTGAAAACTCAAAAAATATATTTAAAAAACAACAACTTTGTTCATCAACGCAGGGCCTTCGGGAGGGGGAATGTGCCCCACTGCAAACAACAATGGTGTGTCTGCCATAGCCCCCGCCTTGTGGAATAAGAACATAAGAACATAAGAGACTCCAATGTTGGATCAGGCCAATGGCCCATCCAGTTCCAACACTCTGTCACACAGTGGCCCAAAACACCAGGACCAGAACTGTACACAGTATTCCAAATGAAGTTGCACCATTGATTTATACAGGTGCATGATGATATTGGCTGATCTGTTTTCAATACCCTTCCTAATAATCCCCAGCATAGCATTGGCCATTTTTATTGCACTCACACACTGTCTTGACATTTTCAGTGAGTTATCTACTACGACTCCAAGATCTCTCTCTTGGTCAGTCTCTGCCAGTTTGGACCCCATCAACGTGTATTTATAGTTAGGATTTTTGGCTCCAATGTGCATCACCTTGCACTTGGTCACATTGAACCCCATTTGCCACATTGACGCCCACTCACCCATCCTTGACAGAACCGTTTGGAGTGCCTCACAATCCTCCCTGGTTTTCATCACCCTGAACAACTTCGTATCTTCCACAAATTTAGCCACTTCACTGCTTACTCCAAGCTCCAAATCATTATTGAACAAGTTATAAAGCATCGGACCGAGTACTGATCTCCTTTCTCTTCCCCTCCCCACAACAGCCCTGTGAGGGAGGTGGGGCTGAGAGAGCTCTTTCGAAGACTGCCCTCGAGAGAACAGCTCTGAAAGAACTTGTGACTGACCCAAGGTCATATCAGCAGCTGCAAGTGGAGGAGTGGGGAATCAAACCCGGTTCTCCCAGATTAGCGTCCGCACTCCCAACCGCTACATCCAACTGGCTCTTGTAATCAGTAACAGTCTTGTGGCACAGTAACTTTGTTAGAAGCAGGGTTGCCAACTCTGAGTTGGGAAATTCCTGGAGATGTTGGGGGCAGAGCCTGGCGGAGGCTAGGTTTGGGGAGGGGAAGGTCAGCAGGGCATAATGCCATAGGGTCCACCCCCCAAAGCAGCCAATCTCTACATCCTGGGGATCAGTTATAATTCCAGGATAGCCCTGGGCCCCACCTGGACGCTGGCAACCCTACCTCTGTAGTCTGGGGAAATTGGTTATAATTCCAGGCTCCACCTGGAGATTGGCAAGTCTCCTTAGACGTTATGGTTGCCAGCTCTGGGTTGGGAAATACCTGGAGATACTGGGGGTGGGCCCCGAGGAAGGAGTGGTCTGGGTTGAGGACGGACTTCAGTGGGGTATAATGCCATAGACCATCCTCCAAAGCCACCGTTTTCTCCAGGGGGACTGGTCTCTGTCCATTTCGTTTCACAGTATTTGCTTTATCACTGTTAAGTCTGCTACTTAACATAAGGAGTCAGAGAGCAAGATCATGGGAGGAAGTGGAATACCAAAAAAACAAGTGACAGAAATAATGACGCGTCAATAAAGATAAGTTGCAAAAAACATTTCCTGTAGCAATTCTGTAGAAAACTTTCTTCTATAATCACTCACACTCAACAACAATTCGTTTCACAGTATTTGGTTTATCAAGTCCAATCACAGACGTTCCTGCTCAGGGAGTTTGAGGGCATGTGATTGGTTGGTTCTTCCTGGGCTACCAATAGGATTGGAGGGATTAGGATCCTAGCCCAGGACAAAGCTTAACATAGCACTTCAATGAGGTGGTTCACATACAGTGATGTATTCCATTGGCAGCTATTGAATACATCACAAACACAATGGGTTCCACTGTGAAGACCTTGGGTTCTGTTATTAGAGAGTCAACATGGAATGTTTCCTTCAAGAGTTGATGTAGTAATTGATAAGAATTGGGATTGCTACATGCTCAGATAAAGCAAATTTTGTGAAACATATAGCAGAACAAAGTCAAGTCTGATGGCAGCTTTCTTTTATTATTTTTATTTTTCCAAACCGAAAAAATAGCATTACAATCAATCGATTATACGGTAGTTGTTGTTGTTGTTCAGTCGCACAGTCGAGTCCGACTCTAAACCAAAAGTCACATTTAACTACAAAACTCACATAACGTTTTTTATAACTATCAACAAAACATGACGAGAAACCCAATAAAACCCTTTAAGACCAACAAAGTTTTAGTCTGGGTATAAGCTTCCGTGTGCACTCACGCACACTTCTTCAGATAGAGAGAGAGATGATAGATGCAAAATAGTAAAAAGCCCAGTAGCACCTTTAAGAGTAACAAACTTTATTGCAGCACAAGCTTTCGAGTCAGATGCATGGAAGGTATGAAGAAACTGGCCAGAGAGATATAGGTGGTAAGAGAAGGGGGGACAGGATAGAGAAAGTGCCATGTAAATGCATTTCATCACGGACTTAAAGATCACCATAGTTTAACAGAAACATTTCAAAACCAAAATCCAAGGATTTTTGGCTCCAGTGTGCATCACCTTGCACTTGGCCACATTGAACCCCGCCACCACCTCCTGTGGCAGTGAATTCCATGTGTTACTCACTCTTTGGGTGAAGAAGTACAGTACTTCCTTTTATCTGTTCTATATATAATAGAAACATATACAATAGTTTTGTGTGTATGTGTGTGTATATATATATATATAGGTTACCTACCTATCTAGATATATGATAGGTAGATGATAGATAGCAAACCCAGATTGTCAAGGACAAGTTGCACTCTGTGTGTGTGCACACACACCATAGGTTACAATTTTAGGTGTGTGTGTGTATGCTCCCTCTAAACTGGTGGAGTCTTGTGAGCAAAAATCCTACTTTGTGAGCCACTGGCATTAAAGTTATGAGCCAGAGATTTGGCTGCTGCATACATTTGTTTGCTCTGGCGCCATCCTTCCTGAGCTAAGACAAAAATGTGTGAGCCAGAGGTTAAAAAACCGTGAGCTAGCTCACACTCACTCAGCTTAGATGGTCTGTGTATGTATGTATCTATATATATGTGTGTCTATTTATGTGTGTGCACATACATATATATGTGTGCCTGTGTGTGTATGTATGTGTATATATATATATATATATATATATATATATATTACACACACACAAGGACTGGACGGACGGACGAGTGATTGACAGCCCGCGCACGTGTCGTGCGGCCTGGTCCTCATAGGGGCGGGGCCGCAGCGCGGAGGGGGGGGGCGGGTTGCGCCTTGGTGTTTAGTCATGCCGGCCACATGACCACGGAAACATCTTCGGACAGCGCTGGCTCTTCGGCTTTGAAACAGAGATGAGCACTGCAACCCTAGAGTCGGATTCGACTGGCTTTCGAGCAAGGGAACCTTTACCTTTACCTTATATATATATGTGTCTATTTATGTGTGTGCACATACATATATATGTGTGCCTGTGTATAGATACATATACAGACACGCGCGCGCGCGCTCGGACTGAACGAACGGACTAGTGATTGACAGCTCGCGCACGTGTCGTGCGGCCTGGGCCTCATAGGGGCGGGGCTGCAGCGCGGAGGGGAGGGGCGAGGCCAGCGGCTAGCCGGCCGGCCGGCCGGCAGAGCGACTCCTCCTCCTCCCCCCCCCCCCGCCTTTGTCATAATGCGCTGCGTCACGT